TCTGCTCAGTAGTATTCCCCACCTGAGGAGCGCGTTCTGGGACAACTTCAACAAAAGGAGGGGACGTTGCAGACGAGGAAGAAGAAGTCTGGGCCCGCTCTTTCTCAAGTGCTTGCATAGCTATGTCCGTAGCCAAGCTGGAAGCCTTCGTAGCATCTTCTTCAGCCCCGTTCTTCTTAGGGCTTCTGGGAACCTTCCTCTTAATCTTCTTACCACTTTGGGCTTTGCCGGAACCCATAGCAGCAGGGGGAATCAGAGGGAGTGGCCAAGAAACATTGGAGAAGAAAGTGAACAGTAAGCGAGAGTGGAATCGACCACCGTTCTCAACCTAGAGCACGAGAGGACAAAAGCACCGGTAGAAATGCTCGCCCAAGGATGGGGAAGCAGAATCTACACTCAAAGAGGAGAGACACCAACAGATGAGCGCTCAAGGTCGATGGCTATGGTGACGGCTACTGTAGCAGCATGTCGCCAGAGAGAAGTCTCGGCCAAGGATGCGGACCATAGGTGTCTACTCCTTAACCCTGATTTCTGGCAGCATCTCATGGAAGAATTAGCTTCTTGAGATGATTTCATCATGAGCAGCTAGGGCCTGGTTTTTTTGCTTGAGTCTGAATTTGTGTTTAAATTATTATTATTATTATGTCAAGCCTTATGATTCTTAACATCATGTGTTACAATGGGGAGTTTTAGCTGCCAAAGGTACTGGTAACGACATTTTGGGAACATTGACATGGTAGTTAAATTACATTTTGTATACTTTGTAGGATGTGGACTCACTTTTTAACTGTTTTAACTGATATCTACTCACTCATTTTAACTACTGTCTGAAATTGATGCAAACGTATTGCGTTGATGTTGAGTGAATAATTTAATATGAAAGGCACTCTTCCAGGTAAAGATATCACTTTAGACTACTTAAGACTGAAGTTTGAATAGCAGAACAGTTAGATGGTTTATCAATAATGTTTGCTTCAGTTAGTGTTGCTTTTGGTGGAGATTATAAGTGTTGATCAGGGTGTTAGGGTAAGGTTTTTTTGCATTCCATTATGGTTTCTGATTTTTTACTATGCCTTTTTGCTCATGGTTATTGTTTATAACTATGAAGATGCCTCCATCTGGTTATGAGTTTTTACATTCCTTTCCTTTTCAACATCTAACAATGGTTTCTAACTATGATCCAAAACCATGACTTCAGGTTTAAATAATATGGATACAGAGGTGAATAAAGATGATGAGTTCTCTTTAGATGCTTAAGAAGCTAGCAGGAATAATGGCATAAATAGTAGTTGAAGAGTGCTTTTGGCTGAGTGTGATATGGTCATATGCTATTTATTGGATGATGTTGTCTTATAATGAAGATGGTCTCTTAAGCGTGGCTAATCATGAAGATCTTTAATGTGGAGCATGACCTTGGGCTTGCATTTTGCACATCAATCTCTTATAAATTTGTTTTGTTGATTTGGATTTGGCTCCATGCTGTCATAGTGGGCAAATATTTGGTGTTTTTATTCTTTTGGAATCAAGTAAAAACACATCATTATCTTTGGAAACATTTTAAGTATGCAATACAATACATCTTCGTCAATTGTTTAGTGTGACTGTCTGGTGGAGTTTTTTTGTGAGCGTTGTCTTTTGCTGGTCACTCCCCATACTTTCATACTACCTCCGTCCCAGAGTATGTGTCCACTTTCATTTTTATACACCATCCAATACACTTCTTTAATCCATTTTATGTTGTAATTTGTATATTAAAAAATTATAGAAATTATATATTAATAATCTATATGTTCAGACAAATCAAACAAGATCACACATGACTATATTTAGGCTTACACATTGAGAGAATTTAATGAGTCAAAGTGCTTAGATGAACAGTTTTAAAAGTCAAAAGTGAATGAATACTCCGGGACGGAGGGAGTATTTTACACTATCACTGTCACAGTGACATCTATTGCCTCCAGTCACCAGTGACATCTGTTGCCTCCAGTCACCAGAGTGCCATTGCAGATCGACGACGTTTAATTAATCACACTGACATAATAGGAGTACATTATAATTTTTTTTCAACATACCACAACGCAAATTCCTACACCATAGTGCTATTATAATCTGATTTTTGTTTTAAAAGACATAAGACTCCCATTTGAGATTTTCAAATTTTTTCACTCCTATCTATGGAGATTTCTTTACTTTAAAATGTTATTTTTAAAAATTAAAAAATTTAGAAAACATAAAAATAATCACACAAAGAATAATTTTGAAAAGAGAAATATATTAGAATAATTTAGAAAAGAGGAATATATTGAAACACTTCATTGTTGTAAATGTTCGTTTAGCAAATTCACTCAAATACTAATGATGTTTTATTTAAAGAGTATATTTTACATAATTTATTATCAGACTATTTTTGAAAATATAAGAAAATATATTTAAGCGAACGAAATCTTACAAAATATTACTCAAAGATCATGAAAATATCTTAATAAAAAAAATTGATTTTTAAGTCTAGGTGTAAAACTCAAGGAATATGGGATTAAATGAAGAAATTAACATGAAGCATCTAATAAATATTACTTTGTACATAATAATCTATAAAAGGTTAACTTTTGCTTCGTAATGGAGATTGTTATTCATTTGCTTACATATGATGCACACTAAATTAACATATCATTTGACTTCCTGATTATTATTGATTATGAAATGAAAAAATTCTTGAAATTTATATTCTTTTATTTTGTGCATTACTGTTTAAATTTAAAATTAAATAAAGAATATAATTACATCCGCAAACATATATTATTTCTATTAAATGATGTCATATATCAATCATACTAAAAATTGTATATATTTTTAATACGACGTATTATTCATTTTAAAGTTTAAAAAAGAATAATTTATTTTTTAGGTTCTTCTCAACTTGTAGAGCTAATATATTCCCGTGCATCGCACGGGTGAAATACTAGTTGGTTTTATTACATTAAGAAATATGTTTGATATTTAAAACAAAATCTTGTAATATGTAAAATATAATTACAAATATAATATTTATAATAAATATTGCATAAATAAAATGAGGTGCAACGTAACCAAAAAAAATTTTAAAATTTAATTTTTTGATATTTATGTTAACTTTATATTATATTTATTTTTTTTACAGAAGTAGTTTTTTGTATTTGAAAAATAACAATACTTTTTTTGTACCTTAAAGGCATTTATTAAGATTATGTGATTATGATGATGATGATAATAATAATAATAATAATCCAATAATAATAGTAATACAGATAATAATACTAATTTATAACAATAATAACTAAAAATAAATTTTTAAAAACTTTTTTAGGTTTTTCATTTTTTTGAAGTTTTTCCAGTTCTTCTAGTTCTTTCTAGTTTTTTTCTAGTTCTTCTAGTTCCTTCCAGTTTTTTCTAGTTTTTATTATACCAAAATAGGACTTCCATATTTTTATTCATGATATAGGACTTACATTACCAAACATGGTCATATACATTACCAAAAAAGTATACTAATTTGCACATGTACACTGCCACATTACCACAATGCAAAGTTACATTACCACAGTGCAAAGTTCTATTCCAGAAAAAAAACATGAAAGTCCTATTTTAGTATTTTTCTCTATGTTTTTAGTTCTATTTAGGATGATTTCTAGTGGGATAACTGGGGTACACCAAAGATGTATCCATTTTTCAATAAAAAATGATTGATAATGGAGGGGTGGTGTCCGCCTAGCATCCCTTCACTTCTAGCTACCATGTCAAATTCATTGGCCCAAAAGGTGGAATCGCCCACCCAGGCGCCCCCAACTACCATGTCAAATTCATAAGTAGTTAACGAGAATGATCTCTTACCATCATAATGATTCATACATGATGCGATTACTGAATTGTGGGTTTTATTAACCCTTTCGGTAAGTAATTGAAAATTTTGAAAGATTGGTTCTCTTAGCTCTCAAATATTTAGGAATTTGAACTTAATTCCTCCTGGCACGTTATGTGAAGACTAGGGTTTATTGTTAATCTGGCATAGTTGCAGGGATCTTAATTGTTGATATGGCTGGTTACCTCATATTATATTCAAAGCATTCCACAGGAGCATGTGATGGATTCTGCAACTTAGGCAACTTAGGGGAATTGAGAAATGTTAGAGACACAAACAAAAAATGTCATGAAATTCACAAACTTGCCATTTGAGGATTTAAATTTCTATTATTTTAATTAGTTGAGAACATTGTGTTATTTTAGTGGGGTTTCTAAGTTTGTGAATTTTGTGACATTTTTGGCCCTTTGGCCTTTACTAAAAATGTATTATGAATTGTTTTCATGCTCTTTATTGAAAATTGATCTCTAATGCGTATAATAACTATAATTAGGGTTGGCTCAATTAATGGTCATGTGAATTGTAATGATGTTAGTGTGATGAAGGTCATGTAGATGCTAATGAAGCTCCTCTCATTTGATTCCCTCTATTCTCTTCTTCTTAGACTCTTAATTGAAATTTCTCCTTTCTCTAACAGGAACTTGGGCCTAACTCATGCCCAGGGACACGATGGAGCAATATGGACGTGTTCAATTGATTTGGGAATCTTCTAACACTTTTAAGTGCATGTGTTCTTCCACACGAGGTCTTTAGATACTGTTGTTTTTGTTTCTTAATAAAATGTGAATGATAGAATCTCAAATAGGTTTTGTGCTGGTTCAGATCGTGACATTAAGATTCATTGAGATAAATGCATCACAGAAAGTTCACCTAACCGTTGTGCTTTGTTTTTTTCTTAGTGAATCAGTTAGAATAGTCACTTGTTTGTTATTGTTAAGGAGTTGATCTATTATTTTGAATGTGTGGCATAAAAACAGATGCCATTTAGCTTTTACAGGAATTTTGTTCTATTTTAAATATGATCTCTGATTTTATTTTTCATGTTAACAAATTTATCTCTGTTTCAGTTTGTACCTTATGCGTTGCTGGCTTGTTGCATTTACTGTACAAATCTTTACGTAAAGTAAAAAGCAAGGGAAGTTTATTGTGCCATTTTGATTTTATCTATTTATTTAGAGGTAAAATATTGTTTGGAGCTAAAGGGTAATTCACACTTTGCACCCCTAAAAAGAGAATAATTATCACTTTGTACTCTCAAAAAGCAAAACAATACTAAAAATGCACCCTTAAAGATAGATAAGCTACTCCAAAGGGCTCCCTAACAAAATACTAAAGCACTCTTTTTCCTTTCAAAACCTCAACCAAAATAAGTTGTATGCTGGCAATGAGTGTGGCCGACTGACCGGAGCTTTTAATTGAGCAACAAGATTTTTGTTTGGGAGGGAAAAAGAAGGGCTTAGACGGAAATACACCTTGGCTAGTTTGAAGTGTTTTAATTTTTGCATAAAACTAGATAGGGAATGTGCGAAAGTGCTCTTTGGGGTGTTAATCTTTTTGAGGGTGCATTTATTAAATCTATTGGTATGAGGGTGTAAGGTGATAATTATTCTAATTTTAGGCGCGTCAAGTGTGAATTACTCGACGCTAAGACATTGTTAGGAATGACTCTTTCAATTCCATCGATGCTAGATAATTATTTCTTTTCCATATTTTTTTAGATCAAATTTCTTTTCCATATTAATATTTAATGTTAGGTGAAATGTGCTAACTAGCTTTTAGTAATGAAGACTCTCCATTAAGTTTAATTGACCACAACCACTCTGTTTTTATAGGGGTAAGGTTGCATTCATCTTGATCCCCTAGATCCCAGTTGAGTTGGGATTATACTGGGTTTGCCAATGTTGTAGCCTTGATGTAGCAATGTTGAATAATATCACTCGTCTTTCCTAGGCCCTACTCTTGTGGGATCTAGCTGGGTTATTGTTGTTAATTGTTAGAATTTATAATGGGATAGAGATCAAGGGACTAAGGCACTAAGCCATATAACACTTTGGTTGAACCACATTAAAAGATTGAATTCAATCAATTACTTAGTTCAACTCAAGAGCTTATATGCGGATTACTTTTCTATTCAACTTCTTATGTAGGCTAGACTCTAATGCTCTCTCTCAAGTGGACAACCGGCCCATTTTAAATCTAACTGCTTGACAACTTGCAAATAAATTCTCATCCCTTGATTTTTTTAGTGCCAACACCTAATGGACCATGAGCTGCTGGGATTGGACTTCCAAACGAGCAATCCACAAGCTTTTGGATATACATTCCACATGGACAACTAGGCTATAGACTAGGGCCGCTAGGAATGAACGACTAGACGAACACCTTAACAAATCAGGTGGGCTAAAGCTGGATTCGATACCATGATAGAAATTAAGATGCGGTAGGGATTATTGACCCTTGCCATAAGAAACTTGGGTCGAACCACATTAAAAATTGAATTTAATTGATTACTTAGTTCAATGCAAGAGCTTATATACTGATTACTTTTATATTCAACTTCTGATGTGGGATAAACTCTAAAATTAATGTTTTTAATGCTTTTCAAGGAGAATCAGATTGCTTTTAAAAAAATGTGGTGTGTAATGTTTTCCTTTGGTTGTTTTCTTGTTCTTTAAAATGCACTTGCGCCCTACTGTAGTGGGATTCAACTGGGTTGTTGTTGTTGTTGTTGTAAAATGCATTTGCACTTCCACTCAAAGGTGATGAATATACTAATTTCTTCTGATAAGGCGTGAATGTTAAAATCCCAAACAGGGCAGTAGATTATCGACACAGGTGGGTCTTGTGCTGTTTCGGACTTCATTGTAACGTTAAGATTACACAAGATTGTTAATTAGTGCCAACTGCCCCCATATGTCAATTAGTGCTTGCATGCCATTTGTCCACCTAGTGAGTCATACCATTCTTCCCAAGGTTGTCCTGCACCATCTAAATCACCCCATCAATTAGTATTTGTAATAAAGAACCAATAACAAAATCTGATCCATTGTAGGAAATGGCTGACAATCAGAACAGAAGATTTAGATTTTGCAGGTGTTTTTGCCACAGAGTTATTCACAAAAGATGGTTTGTATATGTGAATCCTTCATTTATGTTTTCTGCAAAAAAATATCTCAGTTTGATTTTTCTGTAAAGGATCAAACGCGTTTTAAGCAATATTCCATCTATTTCTATATCTGCTTCTATATGTATTCCATCTTTTGTTTTCCAAATGCATTTTAAGCAATATTCTATCTGTTTCTATATCTGCTTCTATATGTATCCCATCATTTGTTGAACAAAATGAATATCCTTTCTTAATAGGAAAAGAAATGACCAGCACAAACTTTAGCTTTTCTGCTTCGTCTCTGCATTTGTTTCTGCGACTTCATTTCTTTTGCGATTTCATGGCTTGGGCTTCTTCTCTCTGAATCGACTTTGCTTCCTCCCCACATCGATTTTCCTTCTGCTCTCTTCGGACTCTCATTTGCTTGATTAACGTTTCAGGCTCTTTTATTTATTTTTTTCATTTTTTTCAATCGTGAGGCTTCCCCTTTTTTCCCTTGTATCTTTAGTTTTGTTTCATCCAATTCATACATGGCTCTCTTTGGACTTTTCTCCTAGCCTACTTCGTGTTGCAGCTTATTAAGTAAATGGGTTCTTTAATTTTTTTTAGTCTCGAGGCTTCCCTTTTTTGTTTATCTTTAAATTTTGTTTCTTTCCCTTCATGTACACTTTTTTGATGGAGAAGACTGGCTCAACATTGCTGATGAGGATGACATTTGAGGCTTCTCTCATTGTTTGATGTTCCACAACTCATTGTTCGTCTCTGGCATGTTTTTTGTTTTGTTTTTGCCACTGCCTGCTTTTGTTCTTTGATGTTTGAACTTTAGGTTTTTGTGTTAATGGTACTGAGCATGACTTTGATTTTTGGTTGCTTTCTCAAATTTTATTATGTCTTTCACAATAATATATGTATTGTTGCTCATTTACTAAATTTAGAGCTATGATGCTAGTTCTCCCTAACTTGTGCCTCATGTTGGTGATGCTCGCGCATTGAGGCTCCAGACCCCCTTGGTGCATCGGTGTGCATCGCGCATTGAGGCTCCAGACCCCCTTGGTGATGCTCGCGCCTGATACCCATCAATTTGATTTTTTTTTTAAATTAGACCGTTTGGCAATAGTCTATTTATTTTTAAAAGTTAAAAAAAATTAGACGAGCGTGGTGAGCTTTCCTGTCCCTCAAGTCTCTCGTCTCTGTGCTCTCTATGAATCGTTTTCGTGCTCTTTATTGAAAGTTTATATTGGTCTCGACTCTTAATTGAATTTTCTCTCTTCCCTAACTTCTTAAATCATAACAGGATCTTGAGCCTAATTCAACCACAGAAGCTAGCTAGATGCACATGAACATATGATGGAGCAATAAGCTCATGTCATCAATCGGTGTGGAATATTCTAACACTCTTTCAAATGCACGTGTTCTTCCACACAAGGTCTGTTTATTAAAATGTTTTTGTTTTCTTAATAAGATGTGAATGATAAAATCTCAAATAGGTGTTGTGCTGGTTCAGATTGTAACATTAAGATTCCTCAAGATTAATGATTCACCAAATATAAGTTAATGGTTTTGCAGTACTTGCATCACTTTTTTTCTAGTAAATCAGAAATAATTCACTTGTTTGTTATTAGGCAAGGGCAAATTCTTATGTGGTCCACTGGTCCTTAGGTCCATGCTCACTTTATGAACCTTCACACATAACATGATTTTATGTGATGGGCCTTGTAATATAAGGAGATCCAAGTATGAGCCCATTGAAAATATGTGAGCAGGTCCACATTTTACATGTGGACCTAAGGATCACAAAAGCATAACTCTATTGCAAAGGATCTGATCCATTAATTCACACTGGTGGCGTAAAAACCTAGACCATTTAGCTTTTACAGAAAATCGGTTCTATATTGAATATTATCTCTGATTTTTTTATTTATGTAAACAGATTTATCTTTGTTTCGGTTAGACCCTTGTGCGTTCCTGCATTTACTGCTCAAATATTTACATGAACTATAAGCAACAAGGGCAGTTTAATGTGCCATTTTGATTTAGAGGGTAAATCTCACTTTGCACCCTGATTTAGAGCTAAAACACTGTTTGAAGCCAAAAGGGTGATTCACACTTTGCACACCAAAAAGGGGAATACTTATCACTTCACACCCTTTAATTAACGCATGAAATTAAATCGCAAGTGTGTGAAGGTGCTCTTTGAAGGTTTATTTTTAAAATTTTCTGTCTGAGGGTGTTAGGTGATAGTTATTCTCTTTTGGGGTGTGGAATGTGAATTGCCTGAAGCTAAAACATTCTCAGAAGTGACTCTTTGAACTCCATTGGCACTGGACATAGTTTGTTTTTTTCCATATCAGTATTCAAATTTAGGTGAAATGTGCTAACTAGCTTTTTCTAATGAATATTATTAAGTTTTATTGACCAAAACCCCTCTGTTTTAACAAGGGTAAGGTTGCGTTCATCTTTAAAAATGTGGTATATAATGTTTTCCTCTGGCTGTTTTCTTGTTCTTTAAAAAATGCACTTGCACTTCCAAACAATGGTTATACTATTTTTTTTCCTGATAAAATGTGAATGATAAAATCCCAAACAGTGCAGTAATTTATTGACACAGGTGGGTCTTGTGCTGGTTTAGATTTCAGATTGTGTTAAGATTACGCAACATTAATTAACTAATTATTTAACTAGCTTTTTCTAATGAATATTATCAAGTTTTATTGACCACATTCCTTCTGTTTTTACAAGGGTAAGGTTGCGTTCATCTTTAAAAATGTGGTATATAATATAATGTTTTCCTTTGGCTGTTATCTTGTTCTTTAAAAAATGCACTTGCACTTCCAAACAACGGTTAATATGCTTTTTTTTCCTGATAAAATGTGAATGATAAAATCCCAAATATGGCAGTAATTTATTGACACAGGTGGGTCTTGTGCTGGTTTAGATTACAGATTGTGTTAAGATTACGCAACATTAATACATCTGCCAACTGTCCCCTTCCTTATATTAATTAGTGCTTGCATGCCATTTGTCCACCTAGTGAGTCATACCCTTTTTCCATCTACTAGTCCTGCACCGTCTAAATCACCCCATCAACTAGTATTCGTAATTAAGAACCGATTACAAAATCTGATCCATTGTAGGACATGGCTGACAATCAGAACACAAAATTTAGCTTCTGCAGGCGTTTTTGCCCACAGACAGATTCACAAAAGATGGTTTGTATATGTGAATCCTACATTTATGTTTCTGCAAGAAACAATCTTACTTTTTTTCCTGTAAATGAATCTAAGGCATTTTAAGCAGTATTCTATCTGTTTCTATATCTGCTTCTAAATGTTTTCCATCATTTATTTAACAATATGAATATCCTTTCTTATTAGGAAATTACCATCTAAAACACAGACTTTGTGCGAAAAATATGGAGAGACTTATGACTTTCCCTTTGTTAATGGTATGGATGAGAATTGAAATTGTTTGAGCAAGGATTACGAAATTGAAGCCATACACTAGAAATACAGAGTTGAGGGCAGGGAGATGTTGAAATAGTTTAGAAATGTGGTTCTTTTAGCAAAGACTTGGGTGGGCTCATCAAGGTTGCAAAAGCTAAGAATTTAATGACCAATTCTGTGGCTCTAACTTTTTCTAAGATAGAAGATACTTGTTAGATTTATTCTAAAAGCTTTTGGGATACATTTTGATCAATAGTTGGCAGATTATATCTAAAGCTTACCAGAGACATGCAATGTTTTTGGACTAGCAAAAACGATACCTTACGTGGCTACCTAGATCATTATCAAGAGTAATACAAACAACATTTGATGTTGCATATACTGAAAATACAACATATTTGTTAGCATTTTCTGATATCTTGGAATGTCGTTGTATATCTGATTATTTGATGGATCCAACTTATGAGTTGATAAACGAAATGAGTGTTTCACCATAGACCTTGCCATGTATATTCTGCCATAGCTTCTATTCTCTCTGTTTCATAAAAGAGTCATGCTTCTCAAGTTGTTTTTGTCCCTTAAAAGAGTCTTATTTCTCAACTTGTTAAGAAATATATGTACATGTGTTGTTTTCTAAGAGTTGTACCTTATTAAAATTAAAATGGTGTTCACTCATCATAGAAAACCCTTTTTAATGTGATGGAGGGAGTAGTAATATAAAAAAACCAATTTTAATTCTTAGAAATCCTTTTTTAGTTTGTTCTTTTTTTGTGCCCTGTGCTTTCTCTGCTTTATTTGTCTTGTATTCTTGTGTTATGACTGTTATCTGTGTTACTTGGAAAAAGCTTCCCTACTTTTGAGTAGGGATAAGGTCTGCTTAAAAAAAAGCCTCCCTACTTTAGATGTTTGTATGCGTTACCTCTACCGTAGAAGTAGAGAGGGTGTGGCTAAAGAAAAAGATGTGTTTTATAAAATTTTTAAACAAAAATTTGTAGATAGATCTTTGCAATTGTTTTTAAGGGTATAAAAAAAACGTCTCATGGTGAAAGATAGTATTAACAGTGTGCCAAAAACTGTCAGTGATTTGAACTAATTAAATCTAAAAATGTTCAATAAAGAATGTACCCATTCTTTTAATGTGTGCTTGTTTTGATCTGTTTGAAATTTCCATTACTCATTAGTTAACCCACTTTCTCTGAAAGGCAATTCCCAAACCATCCATGGATTCTGTGCCAAGGGACTTATCGCGAAGAGCTCTCCCAAACAAGGTGTTACTTAGGAATTCGTCCAAGAAAATCTGGAGTGTGGGGATAACTGAAACCAGAGATGATATCTTCTTCCAAGATGGTTGGGAAAAGTTTGTGGAGGACAACTCTATTAAACAAGGATATGGCTTGGTTTTCGAGTACGATGGTCATGGCATGTTTGATTTCTTATTATTTGACAAATCTCATTGCGAAAAGGTAGCAAAATCAGATACAAGGATCTGCGCCAAGGAATCAAATGCTGTTCCAGTGGATTCAGGCAATTGTACTATGATTCTGGCTATCAAGAAAGAAGAAGAGATTGATGAAACAAACAAGGCTGGTCATAGTGTTGGTGGTGATGATTATGATGATGATGACAATGATGATGATGAAGATGATGGTGGTGAGGAAGATGATCATATGCCGGATCATACGCATTCTGCAGGTAAGAGAATAAGAGATACAATTCACGCGAGCTTCTTATACTTTTTTATGATTCATATACTGTACATTTTTGCGATGTTTTGTTTATCTACTTAGGTGGAGGGAGGAGAGGTCCACAAGCTGGGGAGGGAAGCTCAAGCAAGAGGCCTAGGGATGTTCCTGATCATTATGGAGCTCGCATTTTCAAGTCTGGGCATTATACTCAGCCAACAAACCCTTACTTTCTGGCAAGAATCAGGTCAACAAGGCGCAATGAGCTGGTAAACTTTGACACATCTCCTCTCCTCCCCTTCTTTGAGCAGTGTCTTCTTTGGGTTTTCTCTACTGCAATCAATCAAATAAGTTTTTAAAAACCAATTTCCCTAGTAACCAAACAAGATTGAGAATTTCGGTTTCTTTGACTTTCTTTTCCTTGGCATTTTCCTTTTATTTTTTTCATAATCTCCGAACCAAGCATAGTGGGTAAAATGGTAGTAGTACTTGTGAATGTTTTGCAGTACATACCAATGGATATCATGAAGGGGTTTGAGTTTCCTCCAAGTTTAATCCTTCGTGACCCGAAGGGCAAAGAGTGGGAAGTGAAGACAAAGGTTTGGTGCGATGGGCGGAGATGGGTGACCGGCGGGTGGAGGAGTCTATGCCGATGGAACCTTGTGGAGAAAGACGATAGGCTCGTCTGTGAGATTTTGCTACCGGAGAAGGGAAGGGGCAAAATGGTCTTGCATGTCTCCACCATCATCAGGGAGGCTTCCAAGTACACTTGAGCAAAAATGGACAACAGGTGGCCTATTTCAGCCTGAGGTGAGTGATGACTTCATGAGTTTCTTGATTACTATGAGTGTGTTAATTTCTTGATTACTATGAGTGATGACTTTATGAGTTTCTTGATTACTATATGGATGAGAGATTTGATTGTTGCCATTCTTGCTCTCATGGTAGTTTCTGTGATAAAACAATTGCTGCTTTATGATCCAAATCTGTAGTTTATAAAATTGTATTTCCATTGTTTTCAACCTTTTACCCAATGGTGAAAATATTATGGCCGTGTTTGGCAACTGGGTGTTGGCTGTTTGTATCAACGGTTCGGGTAGTAGTTGTTTTTTGAACCAACCAAACATATCCATTCACCAGTCCAGATCAAACCGGTGTAGAGGACAAACGGATAAATCGTGTTAAAACTTCATCGGGTGCATGTTCATAACAATGTCATTTGGAAAAAAAAAGAATTTGTACGTCCGAACAAAAAATACTCCCTCTATCCCGTGAGTATATGTCCACATTTGATTGCAAATTAAATAAAAACTATATTAGATATTCGTAAAAATTAAATTTATTAGATTTATTATTAAAAATATTTTTAAAATATTATTTTATCTAATTATTATATAATATATATTTTATTTAATTATAGGTCAAAGGTTAAAAATGATTGAATGAAAAAGTCAAAATTGGATAAATACTGAGAGACGGAGGTTGTAGCTTCCGGTCAAAAAAAGAAATTGTAACGCAATTAATTTACTATTGAAAATTATAATTGTTTAAAACATTTAGTTCATTAAATATTACGGAGTACTACGTTTGTCCCATATTTTTGTTCTTATTTTGATTTTAATGGTCAGAGTTTCTACACTTTGTTTGCAAATTACAAATGTATATAGCGGTTAACATGCGAATAATTACTTTTGTAGTTCTGCAGTTTTGCGCGAACCATCGCATTTATTCGCCAAACATTCGAATGTTTAATACTCCATTCATCTCTGAAAAAGATTCTATTTTGATTTTTTATTCAAATAGTGACAATATTTGATCACAAATTATGCAACAGTATTTCTTACTAAAATATAAATTCAAGAGTAAATTTTCAAAATAATCCTTTGTAATAAGAGGTTTTCCAAATTAGTCCTCAATAAGTTTTAATTACCTATGTAGTCCTCTATAATTGAGATTTATTTTCAAAACAGTCCTTTGTAATAAGATATTTTTTCAAATCAGTCCTCAATAAGTTTTAATTATCTATGTGGTCCTCTATAATTGAGATTTATTCTCAAGATGGTCCTTCGTAAAAAAATCTTTTAAATTTCAAATCAAATACACATTTTTTATTAGAAAAACCATTTTGGGAAAGCACTTCATTATAAATGATTATTTTAAAAATTAATTCTAAATTTAGCGGATAAAAATACCCTCAATTAATCCTCATTTGAGTAATATTATTTACGAAGGACCATCTTGGGAATAAATTTCAATTATAGAGGACCACATAGATAATTAAAACTTATTGAGGACTGATTTGGAAAAATACCTTATTACAAAGGACTATATTGGGAATAAATCTCAATTATAGAGGACCACGTTGGTAATTAAAACTTATTGAGGACTAATTTGGGAAAACTCCTTATTACAAAGGATTATTTTGGGAATTTACTCTAAATTTAATATAATTAGTCTCATCATACGATATGCTTTCATATACCAATTTTTTATAATAGTTATTTATTAAAAATATAGTACTTCCTTTGTCCGGAAATGATCTTTTCATTATGCGTTACGAGGTTTGACAGACTTTATTTTAATTTTAATTATCTGATTGTAGGTATAAAATTTAAAAATAAAATTTATATAGTAAAAAATTATATAAAAAATTCTACAAAATAAGAGTTGACAAAACTATATTATTTTATTAAATGAGTTGTGAAAATAAGTAAACAAAATGAGTTAAGTTTGACCTTGTGAATAATGTATGGAAAGATTATTTCCGGATGGAGGGAGTACTATATAATTTGTAGTTAAAGAGTGTCACAGTTTTACAAAAAAATCGAAACTGGAACAACTTTTGGGGAAAGAGAGAGTACTAAACATTCAAATGTTACGTAGTCATGTAGATGCTAGAGATAAATTAAGCATCTGAATGTACATTATTATGGACTCCGTTTACGAAAATTCAAAGGATTTTCATTAAGTAATAACGTCTAAAATATAAATTTTCCTAGCAAACTAGGGCTGTTGTCCCTTGACCATGCTATAGAATTTGTACTAATATTTAACGAGCGTGCACACTTTACTTCCAAATTCATTAATAACTTCTATTAAAAATTTCCTCTGATTTAAGTTGATTTAATTATACAAAATAATCCATAACACTAAAATTACTAAGAGGGACTAATTATTTAAGCATTGGCCACCCTTCCTGCCTTCCACACCAGAGATCTGGTGCATACATGGGCTTTCCTTTAATTCCCTGTTTTTTTATTACTCCCCTTTCCCACATCGTCTTTTACGGCGATTAGCTTTCTTCTTCATAAGTGGCCGCAGCAAAATGACTATCGCCGATCCACCTAATGTTAATAAGTTAAGGGCTTTTCAATTTGATGGTATCTTGTTTGGGTTTTAGGTAGAATGTTTATATCCAACATTATGTGTTAGTGTTGAAAAAACCATCATCCCTTTAACCCGAACAAGATTTTCATCCCAATGTGAAGTTATTTGTCTTTTTTGTTTTTGGTTTTTTGAACAATAGAAAACTAGTTTTATGCATGGCAAATGTTCAATTTCACACATGTGTGGAAAATCACGGCTATAGGAATTTAGAAATAAAAATAAAAAAAAGGTTTTATCTCATTTAGTTAGAGAGCAAAAAAAAGTAGAAGCAAAAAGAAAATGAAAAGGAAAAATGTACTAAGAAGGAGGAAAACACAATTTCTTAGAAAAATGAGATAAAATCATTATCTTTTTTTTCTCTTTTTAAATTTCTTGAATCGAAATGATTTTCACTTTTTTACTATTTTGAGTCTTTTAATAATTTTTGTTTACTCATGTGCTCTCATTGTTCATTTGATAAAATAAAGTGTTATTGTCATAACTTATTTTGTAGAATTTTTAATATAGATTTTAAACATGTAGTTTGTAGTTTTTATTTCTATACCAGTTTATAGATAAACTTATTTTTTTTAAAAAAAATAAAATTTTGCACAGTGTTTTAACAAAAAAAGAGGTTATGGTAAAAAAAGGAAATTGTAATCCAACTAATTTACTATTGAAAATTATAATTGCTCAAAACATTTAGTTCATTAAATGCTACGGAGTACTCCGTACCACATTTGTCCCATATTTTTGATCTTATTTTCATTTTTGTAGTCAATGTTTACTAACTTTGTTCACAAATTCCAAATTTATACAGCAGTTAACTTGCGAACAATTGCGTTGGCAGTTTTGCTGTTTTGCGTAAACTGTTGCATTTATTTGTCAAAAATGTGAATGTTTAGTGATAGTCAAGAATTCCATCAATTGATCCGACTTTGTAGGCGAATCGTAAGAATAATATTATTAATCAGAGAACTTGAGAATTACACTGTATTGCGCTAGGTTTAGCTTGAGGATCACCCCTATTTATACATATCGATTTACATAATTAAGGTAATTACTCCGTATTAAATATGAAAACTAATTCCCGCGAATCGTGTGATCCAAATATCGCGGCTTCTATTATGCAACCTAGCCGTGTGACTCTTTCTCGCCAGGTGTGCTGCCAACGGCCCTTCAACTCGGGTCAGCTCGGGCCCAACGCCTTGGGCCGGTCCAATGTTGATATTGGAATATCCCCGGGTCCCAAAATACTCCTGGGCATGCAGATTGGGCTGCCCGGCTGGTATACGAGGATATTCCAATATCAACATTAGAAAAGAATTCAGTTTTGATATTTTTATTCAAATTGTGACAATTTGTTATCACAAAATATGAAAAAAAAACATATTTAATAATAATATAAATTCAATATAATTGAGTTTATCTAAGGATATGATTTTGATATATCAAATTTTTAAATCATTTATATACAGTATTACTTTAGGCTCCGTTTACAAAAATCCATAAAAATATATTAAAGCAACAATGTCCAAAATATAAATTTCCCAAAGGAGCCAGAAGTTGCAGCCTCTCCACTTTCGGATTCGCTAATAATGTTTATTGAAAATTCTCAATCCATTTAAGTAAATCTAATTGAACAAATTGGCCATGCCAGATCTGGTACATAGATTTCAATTCCCTGTTCTTTGTTACTCCCATTTCCCACATCGTCTTTTACATGGATTACTTTTCTTCTTCATAAACGGCCGCCGCAGGGTGACTATTGCCAACCCAGCTGAGGTTAAGAATGCAAGAGTTTTCTATTGGATGGTATCTTACTCGCGCTCTCGGAAAGAAGTTATTTGTCTTTTTTTTGTTTGTTTTTTTTTTTGAGAACTTTTTGTTTGTTTTTTAAACAATAGAAAACCAGTTTTATTGAGTATTTACCTTCCACATAGGCACATAATCGCAAATTCTACGGTACACCCGTTTTTACCTATCTTTTGGGTACAATCATGTTTTATAACGAAGAGCACAACAAACCGTAACTACGTCAATCGAAGTGCTGCATCAATTGAAGGGAGAAAAGCTACGTCAATCGAAAGGAGACAGAACCCGAGCAGAGTTGCGTTGATCGAAGAGAAGTACGTTGCTTGAGAATGAACATTACATTATTTGAAAATGAGCACTACGTTATTCGTAAAAGAATTTTATTATTGTAATGAACAAATGTGTGAAAAATGAACACTATGTTCTTTTAGAATGAACACTACGTTGATTCAAAATGAACATTTATTCATATTTTGCGAGCAAAAGGAACACGAGTTTTGATATCTCCGCTTTGAAGTTTCTTAAATGAATGTTCTAGCATCTCACTAGATAGTGGGCCTTCAGGGAACTCAAGCATGTGATATCCAACATCATCACTTCTTATTGGACTCAGGTATCCAAAAGTGTTCAGATATCCAGAAACTACAATATACTCTCTCCGTCCACAAATAAACTTCTCTTTTACTATTCACAAGACCAAACCTTATTCACTTTGTTGATCTATTTTCGTCACCCATTTGATAAAATAATATTGTCATGTCACTTATAGTTTTGTAGATCTTTTGATATAGTTTTTTAATATGTAATTTTTATTTTTAAATTTTACACCATTT